TATATGTGTGTGTGTGTATATATATATATATATATATATATATAACTTATTTTTTATTCTGAAGTACCTTTTTTAGATGCTTATGTTGTTCTTTACTGAATTTAACTTTAATTAAAAATTAAAATTAAATTATAATGGCCAAACCTTTAAGTGTGCAACTGTTACCGCAAGAAACATTATCTCCTTAAAATGTTTTTCTTTAATTTACGGTGAAAGTTAAGTTTGGTCCCAACCTAGCTTGGCCAGACTGAGTTAGGGTTATGGTTAACATTCAACCTAGGTTTTCAAAAATGAATTTACTTAATAATAATTCTCATTTAAATTCTATTGCTAGAAAAAAGTTTTAAACTGGGTATTAAACTCATTTGAAAAGATTTAATCTAAATCAAATGTAAAATTATTTAATAATTTTTTTTAAAAACTCGTATGAAACTATTTTAATGTATTGAATTGTAATGTAATTTTCTGAAGGTTCAGCCACTCACAGAACAAAACACTGTTTTCAGACCCTCTTTGTCAAATGTGCGTGAAACATTAAATGCATTTCATTATCAGGGCGTGTTCTTCGTCTAATTGCCAGAGCGTGTTGATTCTGTTGTGTAATGTGAAGGATCCTTATCAGATTTGATTTACCAAATTCGTTAACCTTTGCGTTCGTGTAGCTTCAGGCCCTGAGCGCATCGTTTAGATGAAATTAAGTGCTCGCTGTGTTTTCTGTTTCCTCAGCTTCACTCTTGATTAGCTCGCGCGGCGAGGTCACGTTTAGCATAATAGTCCCGTGTCCTTAATGAGGAATTCTGGACGTGTGACAGATTCTGCTCTGCCTTCAGACACGTCTCATCAGATTGTATAATCCTCTGCTGTTATTCTGATGTTTATGCAAATCGCAATTCATCATTAAGATTGTAGCATAACATATTTACGTCCAGCAGACGTCTAAACGTATTTTATTGGACTGTCCATGAAGATATTTTGTAAATGTCCTACTGTAAATATATCAAAACTTAATTTTTGATTAGTAATATGCATTGCTAAGAACTTCATTTGAACAACTTTAAAGATGATTTTCTCAATATTTAGATTTTTTTGCACCCTCAGATTCCAGATTTTCAAATAGTTGTATCTCAGCCAAATATTGTCCTATCATAACAAACCATACATCAATGGAACGCTTATTATTATCGAAAAATGGACCCTTATGACTGGTTTTGTGCTCCAGGGTCACAAATGTTAGTGTAAGATATATAACTTGTGTTTGTTTGTTTGCCGATTTGTATTTTTTGAATGGTTTTTGCCATGAAAATAACCTAAAGATGCTGACATGGCATTAAATAAAATATCCAGCAGATGTCTGAGGCTGCCAGATCTAATGAGCTGTGATCGAATGATATTTGACGTTACATTAGGACGAATATTTTACACCTTGCTAATATCGCGAGTCTTCCGGCGCAAGCTCTCAAACATCTTTCCAAGAGAAGGGGGGGAATCAATTTTCTCTCATAACAGACGATTAAGCTCGTGTGTTTGGCAGATGGTTGGAATTGACCCTTCATTAACCAAAGTCGTCGTTAACAGCGCGTCGCCACACACCTTGGTGATTTAATGTTTCCCGTTCCCTAAAATCCCTTCAGGAGCGCCAGCCATCGTAATGGAGTCCGTAAGCTCACAGAAGAGCTGTGTTAAATCACGGACCGCATGCTTCCCTGAGACCTGGCAACCGCCGCGCGCTTTAATAATCCAATTTAACATCCGCCTGCATCATGCAGTCCTGTTAGTCCCAGTTTTGGGAATACACCCACTCCGTCGGGAGGGTCGCTTTATTCCTCACGCGGCCCCACAATTGGATTTGCATTGGGAAACATCAGAATCCGACGCCCACAATTAGTGTCTAAGACAGCCTCTGCTGCGGGAACATTGCAGTAATCTTCTTAAAGCAGGCGAAACATTGACTAAAACAATGAGGCGGGATTCTCCCGCTGCTCCTGCCGCTCAGATAAGCCTCGTGAACGAACTCTCCGCTGACTAACAGGAACTCGGATGCTCTCATTTCTGATTCATACTCTATAGGTCAAAAGTTTGGAATCGTTGAAGTCTCTTCTGCTCACTGAGGCTGCATTTATTTGATCTAAAATACAGTAAAAATAGAAATGAAAGTGACCCTGCCGGTACGAGACTCGAACCCACAACCTTTGGGTGACGAGTCCGACTCTCTAACCATTAGGCCACGACTTCCCCCCTGATAGTGCAATATTATTAGAGTTTCAAATAGCTGTTCTTATCATTTTTTCTTTATATAGATATATTTTTATTCATTTTTAATTCAGTTTTAATTTTAGTTATTTTAGCACATCAAGTTAAACTAAATTAAAATGAGATTTTTAAAAATATTTTATATTTTTTAACATTTATTTTTATTTCAAGTAAGTTTTTTACGGTTTTAGTTTTACTTCACTATATAAACCCTGCCAAGAAGACACTTTGGAGTTAAAGATGCATATTAAGTATTGAATAAATATAATAAAAATGTTCTTAACATAATCTTAATTTATTTATTTATTGTGTCTTTTTAGATGCATATACTGTTCTTCATTGCATTTAATTATTCTGTTAAACTGTAATGTATTTCTGTGATGCGCAGCTGTATTTTCAGCATCATAACTCCAGTCTTCAGTGTCACATGATCTTCAGAAATCATACTAATATGCTGATTTGCTGCTCAAGAAACATTTCTGATTATTATCAATGTTGAAAACAGTTGTGCTGCACAATATTTCTGTGGAAACTGTTTAAAAGTTTGGTTAAATTAGAAAAAAATTGTTTTATTGATCAAGGATGCATTAAATTGATGAAAAGTGACAGTAAAGACATTTATAATGTTACAAAAGATTTATATTTCAAATAAATGCTGTTTTTTAAACTTTATATTCATCTGTGAATCCTGAAAAAAAAAAATGCATCACCGTTTCCACAAAAATATTGTGCAGCACAACTGTTTGTAACATATATTTTAACATATATTCACATAGAAAACAGCTGTTTTACATTATAATAATATTTCACATTTTTACTGTATTTTAGATCAAATAAACACAGCCTTGGTGAACAGAAGAGACTTCTTTCAATTAGCTGATGCAGTTAATGAGGCTCGCTGGGCAGGAGGTGCGTTGTGTACAGATTAATTAGAGCATTTACGTTAGTTAGTAGCGCAGCTAAACGAACGGCGTCTCTGAGGAGGAGCTCGTCAGCGCCCGCGGTGATCTCCCTTCGCCATAATCTATTAAAGCGCCGCTTTTATCTCACCTCGCCCTTGTCATATTTTATGGATTTTTTCATAAACACTGCCTATACTTCATAAATGTCTCAATTTTCTAGTCTATTAACATTACTTCAGAAGCAGTTGATAAAAGAGGCAGGCAAGCATGAAATAATGCCCCAGTAATATGCAGCGCTGCAGGCGAGAGCCGGCGCTCAAACAATGCTCGGATGCTATCAGCGCTAATAAAAGAGCCAGCGATCACTTACTGTGAGAGAGAGAGAGAGAGAGAGAGAG